GGTAGGGCAAGGCGGTGCTCTCTGTGCGTTAGAATTGGGATGCAAACTCCTGACCTTGGCTAGACCACCGACTGTGCTAGGTCACTTGGCTACGTAAGAGGTGGCTTGCGCACTGCTAACCAGCGGAAGCAGGCGGGATTTGGGCGGGGTTGCGAGCGCTCTGGACTTTGTGCCTGGGCGGAGTGCTCCAGCTACCAGCTACAAAGACGCTAAGCGCGGAAATCAGATCCGGGCTGGACTGGTGAGTAAGGCAGCGAAGAGTGGCGCTCCTTGCGGTGGAGTCTGATGGAGGGTATTTGTCCGGTATTCCTCCATCCTTCACCTCGGCAGGGTGAGGCCCTAATCTTGGGGGAACTTCCAACTTGTGGGATCCCAGACTTAGCCAGGTGTGTGTGGCTTGGTGCAGTGTCCACTCCCGCCACCTTGGGGGCTTGCGCCAAGGAAAGGGTCCTGGCACGTGTTGAGTTGTGATCCCAGAAAAGAGGGTTTCAGGACAGACGGGCATCGGGCAGTGCCGTCCAAGTCAGTGAGACTATTTCAGAGCACCGAAGCTGGTTCGGTGAATGTTAGACCCTGCTGTGCGCCGCAGTGGTGAGCAGAACAGCCCGGCTCCCTCCAGAGCGCTATGAAACGCTGTGAGTGAATAGTCGGGGCCCCAAGCAGCCACCAGGAGCCGTGATCTGACCGGCCTGGGAGGCACAGTGACTGGACAGTATCCTTGGAAGGCCTGAGCAGCGACCCAAAGGCCATATTAGAGGGACGAGTGTTGGGCGGTTCGCTGAAGGGCAGAATATTCACGTGGCTGAAGACCCGGGTTTGGGACCTCGAGGGCACATCCCACAAAGCCTTGAGGGTGTGTTGGGGATTTAAGGGGCATTTTGAGAATTTCCTGTGGGAAATTATGATAGGGTTTTGGTTTGGAGAGAGACTGATTTGGTCAGGACTGGAAAATGGCGACACATTCCAACAGGAATTGCTTTCTGGAAGGGTGGGGACTGGCCGGTACGTGTAAGCCTGCTGTGACTTCCGGCCCCTTAATAGCCAAAAGTCTGGTGAGTCATATCTAGCTTCCTTCCACTCCAGACCCCTGTTGAGCTCCGGGGTCCTGTGGACAAAGAAAGTACTCTTGTAGGCCGCCAGAGAGACAACCCTGACAGAAGATAGAATCCTGATCAAGGACCTCTTCCTGCCACTCTCAGCAAAAGCCATCTTAAGTACTGATGACAGCAGAGTTCTTCCATGCTGGCGAGTGGAAAGGCAAGTCTTTAAGGACATTATCATTGAGGCCGTTTAAAGTGCAATTGGCTGGAAAATAGATCTCTTTACTTCATAAAAATGGCCATGAATAGTCTTGTTATCTCCCCTGTTACTGGGACTTGAACCTAGGGACACTCTACCACTGAGCTACATCCCAGCGCTTTTTGTTTTTTGAGACAAGGTCTTGCTAGTCTGGCCTTGAACTTGGAATCCTCCTGCCTCAGCTTTCTAAATCGCTGGGATTTCTGGCCTGCACTACCACACCCAGCTGATCATAAATTGCTGAGGTCCAGGTCCAGCCCCGCTGGGGGATAGTGAGGATCCATGGTGGTCCTGAAGGACCATGGCATAACACTTAACATTCCTAATGGTTCTGATGTGGTGCGGTGGTGGTGCAGTGGAGCAGTTTGGTACTGCCTTGTAGGTCGTTCCTGCCTTGCAGACCTGCAGCAGCATCCCCCATGCTGTGACCCTGTCAGACAGTGAGTGCAGGAATGCCTTCACCAATGAATAGTCCTTTTTTTATCCTTTCTTTTTTTTTTTTCTTATGAATAGCCTTGAAAAGAAAAGGGAGAGAGGAGAGAGGAAAGAAGAAGAAAATCAACTTCAGATCCTAGGACTGCAGTTATCATCACATCTTTGGCGGTATCCAATTCACTTTTACTCAAATGTCATTTTCCTTGCTGGCATTTATTACTTTCATTACCTTTCCAAAAAAATGAAAGGAAAAAAAAAGTCAACAGTTTAATATACTTTTCTTAGCATCTGAAGGGAGGGAAGATGTGGGTGAGTGGTTGTTAGCAGGAACTGGTGTTCTAGCATGTTTGCATTAGAGCAAGAACTCTTCAAAGTGAGCAGGGAGCGACAGTGCTTGGCACATCGTGACCCCTGAATACGTGAGAGCTGTTGTGTTGTTGTCGGTATTATTCTTTACAAGCATCGTGCTGTTTAGATGCTCTCTGGCTCACAATGACATGATTGTTTAACTAATGTATTTTGACTTTGCAGTGTTAGGAAAGCCTTACCCATTCAGTTGAGATTGTACTTTGGATTTTGAATTTGGATCTTTTTCCCAGGCTAGTGATATGCATATAATACTCTGATATTCTCATCTCTCTCTCTCTCTCTTTTTTTTTTTTTTTTTTTTGGTACCAGGGATTGAACCCAGGGGGGACTCAACTACTGAGCCACATGCCCGAACCATTTTTTATATTTTATTTAGAGATAGGGTCTTGCTTGCTAAGTTACTTAGGACCTCACTAAGCTGTTAAGGCTGGCTTTAAACTTTTGATGCTCCTGCTTTAGCCTCCAGAGCCATGGGATTACAGGCATGGACCACTGTGCCCTGCCTCTGATATTGTCCTGAAGCTGTGTAGTGCCAGTGAGCTTCAGCTTCTTGTCAGGCACATGATAAGGAGAGGAAACAACTGATACTCTGCAGTGTGCTTTGTTGCTAAGCCAAGATGTTCTGTAGGTTAGGTGCATTAAATGCATTTCTGATTTAAGACTTTCAACTTATCACAGGCTGTGGATGTAGCTTAGTGTTTGCTAAAAACCCTGGGTCTGAGACCCAGCACCAGGAGAAGGAGAAGAAGAAAATCTTGGTCACAGTTCATTAAAAAAAAATATATATATATATATATATATGTGTGTGTGTGTGTGTGTGTATTTATCTCTGGAAGAGATCTTAGAGAATGTCTTCTTTATTTTCACATTTCCAATGAAACCAAGTCAGAGAAAATGAAGAGACTCATTTGAGGTGGTTTGTGACAGATTCAGAAGATTCAGATCTGGATGCCCTAGATATATGCTTTTCAGTGGTACTGAGTAGGGTTTCAACACTTAACTTTCCCATGGATCAAGAGTGTCTTCTCCAAGTTACTCAGCATCTCTATATTTGCATACTTTAAGATGGTGCCAATAATTGTTACCTCAATGGGCATTGCTAATAGGTTTCAATGATACAGAGTGGAGGGTTAATAACTCTTGGTGTTCACTGACCAAATAAGGAGTTGTTTCTTACTCTCCTTCTTCCTCATATGTTTTGTTTCTCTCTGACCTCAGGTTCCTAGAGGTAGGCACCAGCCAATTCCATAAAGCAGGCTGAAACAGAAGGTAGACACCTGCCTTCAGCCTGGCATTACTGGACAATGGCAGCTGAGCGAAGGATGACCAGGTCCCTGAATTCTGCAGCCCAGACTTTGAGGGAACCAAAGGTGTTCTCAATGGTAAAAGAGGAGACTTTGGACGGCACAACAAAGAAAGAAGACAGTCCCTTGAAGCAGAAGTGCTTGTTACGGGAAGCCATATCAAACCCTCCAGACTTTGCAGGGCCTCTCCATCTGCCCAGTTTTGGGGAGGTAGAGAGCTCCAAGAAGGAGTACAGTCTTCCTTGGGGGCTAGGCCAGGAGTGGAGAAAGCAAGAAAGAGACACCACAGAAGAGAAGGTACGGCACCCTTAGGTGGGTGGGGTGGCAACATCCCTTCAGGAAGCCAAGAAGAGAGATTGTGGTTGAAAGTAAGGAGAACTAGCTAGAAAGAGGGAGGGACCAGGTCCTACTCTCCAGGAGCTCTTTCATCTATTCTCCTGCCTGTGGGTCTTTGCTTTTCTTTCTTATTCATATTATGCATATCCCACTCCCTTTCCTACCACATCTTCTTTTCATTTTTCTGCATCTTTCCTTTCCTTTCTGTAGGTCACAGTTGCTGGCTTAGTACCTATCTTTTTAAAATTTCTCTCTTCCTTCCATGGTTTTATTTTTCTCTTAGGTTTTAGTTCTCTGAATCTTTTGGGGGGTAGGGGAGGGCGTATCAGGGATTGAACTCAGGGGCATTTCAACCACTGAGCCCCATCCCCAAGCCCTATTTTGTATTTTATTTAGAGACAGGGTCTCACTGAGTTGCTTAGTGCCTCACCATTGCTGATGCTGGCTTTGAACTTGTGATTCTCCTGTCTTGGCCTCCTGAGCCACTGGGATTATAGGCGTGCACCACTGTGCCTGGCTCAGTTCTCTGAATCTTGAGTGTCATGTATATACACACTCTGAATCTGTTCTACTCTTCCAGATGCCTGTCACCTTTGAGGATGTGGCAGTGAATTTCACCTGGGAAGAGTGGGACTGTCTAGATGCCAGTCAGAGAGCTCTTTACCAGGTTGTTATGTCAGAAACCTTCAAAAACCTGGAGTCTGTGGGTAAGAGGTGGGGTCCTGAGTCATTACCTGGGCACAGTTAGCTTCACTGAACTAGTTCTGTGCCTTCCAGATGTGGAAAATCTGGGTCACTAAGCTCCAGAAATGAAAATCTGCATAAAGGCAGACATAACACTTGTAACATGATGACAGAGTTCTCAAAATATGCAAATTTGTCTATTCGTCCAACCTATATTTATTATGTCACTCATGTGCCAGGCACTTAGAATCTGGCCTTTTGCAATGTGTTTCTGCATCTAAGTGTACAGATTAAATTCTGTTTTGTTTTGTTTTTTAAGGACTTAAATCAGTAATTGTTTATTTGACTCACAGATCTATAGTCTGGGCAGGGCTCAACAAGGAAATCTTGTTTTGGTTTAATATGGTGATAGCTGGAGTGGCTATTGGGGCTAGAGGATCCATTTTGATGATGACTCATTCATGTGGCTGATAAATTCACAGTAGCTTTTGACTGGAAGCTTGGACAGGAACCTGAGTTCTTCTTCCTGTAGAATTTTCCATAGGGCTGCTTGAGCTCCCTTCTAGCATGGAAGATGGGTTGCAAGAGGGTTTTTTTTTTTTTTTTTGGTTGTTGTTGTTCTGGGGATTTAATCCATGGGTGCTTTACCACTGAGTCACACCTTCAGCCCTTTTTATTTTTTATTTTGAGACAGGGTCTTGCAAAGTTGCTGAGGGCCTCACTAAATTGCTAAGGCTAGCTTTGAACTTGCAATCTTCCTGCCTCAGACTGCTGAGTCTCTGGAATCACAGGTGTGAGCCATGGTGCCTGGCTGAGAGGATGTTTCAAAGGACAGGATGTGGTAGCTACCGATTTACTAAGGCCTGAGCTTGCAAGTTGGCACATCATAAATTCTGTCACATTCTGTTCATCAAGTGCAGAGCCCTCCAGATTAAGGTTCTTAAAACAAGCATACAAAAAGTAACCTGTTGACCAGATGTGAAGGGTCCAAGCCTGGGCCCAGCTTTACTCTTTCTTTCATTCCCACTTACCAGGAGGAATATTTCTGCCTAAATCAGATGTGGTCACCAAGCTTGAGCAAGAAGAGAGACAGAAGAGGGCAGATCTCCATCAGCCAAACAGAGAAGGCCTCCCTTCAGGTAAGAGTTGCAAAGGAGACAAAATCAAAAGGGCCCAGGGCAATCCCTGGAAAGGTGGAGAGCTCACTGAGAGAATCAAGGTTCTCTGTATATCATCCATTTTTCCAGCCTGGTTAGACTTGGAGCTAAAAGAGACCTGGAGATGAAAGGCTGAATCCTTGACTTGGTGAAGAATGTCTAAGCCTTTCAGGACAAATAATGTCTTATCTGAGTAGCTTTGTCAGCTAATACCCCTATGATGAAAATTTCTTTCCAAAAGAAAAGAGAAGCAGGAGAGAAAAGTTGAGGGTGCATTGTAGAAGGGAAGACTTATTCCTGGGAGTAGAATAAGGAGTTAAGAAGATATCAAGCCAGACTGATTACATCTCCCAGTTTGCTAGAACTGTCCTTCTCATGCCAACTTGATAGATTTTTTTTTTCTTTTGGAGGTATTGGGGATTGAACTCTGGGCTCCTTGCATGCTAGGCAAACCTCCACCACTGAGCTATATCCCTATCCCTTTTTATTCCTATTACACTTAATTAATTAATTAATTGATTAATTAAGCAGCACTAGGGACTGAACCCAGGGGGCTCTCTACCACTGAACTACAACTCCAGTCCTTTTTGTTTTTTATTTGGGTCTCCCTAAGTTGCTGAAACTGGCCTCTAACTTCCCATTCTTCTGCCTCAGCTTCCAAAGTAACTGAGATTACAGGCCTAAGCAACCATGCCTGGTTTCCAGTTTAATTAGTAATAACATATCTTTATTCTCAAATGTTCCAATTTGCATGATATAGTAGTCCTCCTTGGGCTAGGGGTAGAGTGCTCCCTTATCCACAGGAAAGTCTTCCAAAACCCCCTGTGGATACCAGGCACAGTGGAATTAGCTTGTAATCCCACCAACTTAGGAGGTTAAGACAGAAGGATTGCAAGTTTGAGCCCAGCCTGGGCAATTTAGCAAGACCCTGTCTCCAGATAAAAAAATAAAAAGGGCTGGAGATGTGGCTCAGTGACAGAGCATCTCTGGGTTCAATTTTCAGTAATGGTACCAGGGACACTTTACTGCTGAGCTACATTCCCAGTCCTTGCCCAGCTGAATTTAATTTATAAATTAGGAACAGTAAGGCATTAAACAATAATAGTAAAATAGAACACTTATAAAAAAAGTTCTGTGAATATGGTCTTTTTTCTCTCTCAAATTCTGGAATTTTCCATGTAGTATTTTTGGACTGTGGCTGATTGTGGATAACTGAAACCATGAAATTTGAAGTCACAAATATGGTAGATTACTATACATTGTGTGGATATTTGTGGATATCTGTGGAGTAAGTGTCTGTGGGAGTGTGGACAATATTGGAATGAGAAAATAAATTTCAAGAAATGTGGCCATAAGTTAAAATATAGATCTCTGACATTGTTGGAAGATTCCAGTTAAATTTTTATTTGCTTATAATTTTTTTTATAGTTGTGGATGGACAGCATGCCTTTATTTGTTTAGTTTTTTATGCGGTACTAAGGATTGAACTCAGTGCCTCACACATGCTAGGCAAGCGCTCTGCCACTGAGCCCCAGCCCCAGCCCTATTTGCTTATAATTTGAAAAGCCTAAAGTTATTCTTGTCTCCATCCTATGAAGTTTAAGGGTGGGGGTAAATGTGCAGGTGGGAAAGTGATGGCAGAAGGGGAAGTGGTTCACTCTGGAGGGAGAGGTTGTACTGGCCTTCGCCTTGTGAATCTTGTGTCTTTGATACTTCCTCATTTGCTACAGGAGACAAGAAAGAAGAACTTCAAGAGCCAGGTCAGAATCTAAGAAATGAGGGGGCTAGTGATGACAAGAAAGTCTCCCTTCTTCACAGAGGGACAAGCCAGAGACCACCTTCTGGCAGGATCTCAATGTTCCGAACATCCCAACCTGGACCACCCTTTCTCTGCAACACCTGTGGCAGGTGTTTCAGAAAGAGCTCCTACCTCCACAGCCATCTCTCCAGTCATCAGTTTGTTCACAACCCTAAGCAGACTAACATCTGTAACCGGTGTGGAAAGTTGTTCTGGAGCCGCAAGGCCCTCAGCCACCACAGGCGCAGACATCATGGAGAGAGGCCCTTCCGTTGCTTACTCTGTGATAAGACCTACTGTGATGCTTCTGGACTGAGTCGGCACCGCCGTGTTCATTTGAATTACCGGCCTCATTCGTGCCCCGTTTGTGGGAAGTGCTTCCGGGACAGATCTGAGCTCAAACGCCATCAGAAGATACACAAAAACCAGGAGCCAGTGGCTGGAAACCAGAAGCATGTTGTGAGGATTCCAGGCACCACAGCTGGATTGCGGGAGCCCATTGTCACGAGACAGAAGTCCATCCAGGGACTTGTGAACCAGGCACCAGTGGCTAGGATCCAGGAACCCAGATTTAAAACTAAGAATTCTGTGACCAGGACACAAGCACCAGACAGTAGATCCTCCTACCAGAATACCAGATCCAACTCTATTACAGTGCAACCCTCAAGATTCAAGGTCTTCTCTTGCCCACATTGTCCCTTGACTTTTACCAACAAAGCCTCTCTCTCCAGTCACCAGAAGGTTCACCTCACAGAGCAGCCTACCTGCTGCTTCTATTGTGGCAAGTCCTTCAGCTCATCCTTCTGGCTCTCCAAGCACCAGCAGACTCACTGGAAACAAAAGATCTACCGATGCCCCATCTGTGACCTCTGCTTTGGGGAGAAAGAGGACCTTCTGAATCACTGGAGGAGCTATAAAGGCAAGGAACAGTACCTAGGCAGTCCCCATATATGCTGGGTAATCCTGGGCCAGAGCCTTGGCTGCTTTCATGATTCCCCGCGACTGGGAAGGATTAGAGACATGGAGGAAATAGATCTTCAGGAATCCATATCCCCAGGAGAGATGCAATATGGGAGAAGGCATGCAAAGGAGACAAGGCGAAGGAGGCAGTGAGGATCTCAAAACATAAATAAATGACCTTTGCAACAGAGGTCTTTGTGTTTGGTTTTCCTGAGGACTGACCTCCAGGGTCAGGAGGCTTGAGTAGAGGGAGAGAGGTGAATGGATGAAGAATAAAATAAACAAAGAAAAGGGAAAGGATGTGTGCATATAGAAACTCATTATTATTAATTAGCACCTAACTTGTTTCTTTGTGTCTGATAGATCATCAAGTAGTATTTGTTGACTAAAACAATGTCTACTGTGATAGGTATGAAGATGGGAGAAAGGGATTAGAGGAGAGAAAGTTCGAGGGATGCAGAGAAGTTGTGGAAGTAGAAGGGAAACCATTCTAAAAGTGGATGTGCTGCTCAGTTCCCATGCATTGCTTCCTGTGGCCCTCCATAGGCTGCATAGACGAGACGGAGCTCTGGCCGGTATTCTATGTTCTCTCCCCACTTCCAGGTCTTGGTTAGGGCTCCCTACATCCTCACTCTGCAACTCATTCAGCTCCCTCTTTGATATTTTGGGCTCTTCCTATTCCTTCCCTTCTACCCTCTCACTCTGCTCAATAAGGGCTCAGTCTTGGAAGAAACAACCACCATTTGCAAATTGGATGTTCTGTAATTGGCAGTGAGGAGGATCTTGGTCTTGTTTGTGGGAGAACTCCTCCTGTCTGTGTTACTCTCCAGCACAGGTGTCCTCTGATGAAGAAGAGACCCACCTGGCTTTAGCCAGAGAGGGCTTCCTAGTGAAAGATGGAGAGGAGGAGAAACATGGGAAGCAAAAAAATGGCAAAGGAGGGAAGGAGCTGAGGAAAGGAAGAAAAAAGGTAGATGACAGAAGGGAAATCAGTTCTATTTTGAATTCAGAATGTTCCTAGAAGTGGCCAGTGAGCGTGCAACTTGATGGATGAGACATCCCCAAGGATCAGTCTCTGGACCCACCAGGCTCGCCTCCAACCTCGTCAAAATGCCACAGCACTCAGAAGGGATTTCCTAGAAGAAGGAGAAAATAACTTGAAAAATCAATGTCAGAAGTTTCTATCATGAAACCCCTGAATCTGGGAAATGAAAAGACCCCTGAGGTCATCTTATTTCTGTGGCTGCCTTGGTAGTTGGTCTTGGAGGTGAAGCACTGGGCAGCTGCTGTTGAGAATGGGAGGGGAGATTCCTACTGGAGGGCACTGCGGGTAGAGCAGATGAGACAGTAGATGGGAGCAGCCCAGCTTCCCTCTGTGCCACCTGTAAACTTGAATCTGACAACTGCCTTCTTCCCTCTCCCTCATAGGGTGAGTCCTCCTCCACCATACTTTCCAGCCCCTCCTGTCCTGGGATTGGGCGTCTTCAGTAACCCCTTCTTTGTAGCTTCAGTTTCCCTTTCCTGGCTTTTTGTTCTCAGTTTATAAGAAAGAGAAGAGAACTTACTTAGTTCCTCAAGAAATTGCCCTGCAAACAAGAGAAATAAATAGATGATCAATGGAAGATGGCTACCCCCTCTCACATCCTCCCTGTGGACACTCAAAATGACCCTTCCCTTTCCATTGAGGGGCCCCACAGATTTCGTAAGCAAATCTCCTAGCAACTCCTCTGAGGAGCCTGCCGATGGGCATGAGGACAGAAGAGGAATTCCAGGGTTCTGGTTGCACTGTTTCCCAGTCAGGGCTGCCTGGGTCCCCCACTGCTTAGTGGTTCTATTTACTGTCTCCTCCCCACCACCTCACCTGCCAGTCTTCGATGCAACCAGTTGTAGCAGATGATCAAGGCAACCAGGGGTCCAAGAACTGGTACGATTACAAACAGGGTTATCTTCCAGCAGGGCACCCTCAGAAAGTGGGGATCTGAATTGTTCATCAGAACAAACAGGGTTAATATGTATTTCCGCTCATACTCACCCTTCTCCTTTTGAGGCTTCTGGTCCAAGAACACCAAAGGACTCAGGACAGAGTCCAGGGAGTCCATAAACTTGGATGAGAAGCACCACGTCTTTATTCACATCACAGTATCGCAGTACCTGTACTTTCATTGCCAATGGAAATCACAGATGTTTTCCATCCCATTGGAGTTGTTACAGAAATCTCCAGGTGCTGTTTATGTTGAGAGTTGCTGCTACTGTATTTATGCGTTACTTTTGTTACTTAAAGGAACGTTTGTTAATATATCAGTTTGTTTATGTGTTGATAGCTGTATTCCAACACAGATTTTCTTTGTAATCCTATGTGTTATGTGTACATTTAAAAACTTTCTGGGGATGGGAATGTGACTTAGTGGTAGAGCATTTGTTTTAGCAAGTGCAAGGCCCTGGGTTTAATTCCCAACAAAAAAAAAAAAAAAAAAGAAGAAGAAGAAGAAGAAGAAGGGATCCTTTCGTGGTACAAAAAGAGTTCAGACCTTTGATATTAAAATCCTACAAAATAAAGATCCTCTTGCTCTTACATGTGTATGAGGCAGCAGGAAAGGCTGCTCAGCATAGGGAATGCCTGTGCTCTGCCTAATGCCATCTTCTAATTTCTATGAAATTCATTCATTTCAGCACAAATATTTGGATGCTCTTCTGTTGGCATTGTCCTTAGGCACAGAGCAATCTGTAGTAAATGAAAAAGACAGAGACCATATCCTCAAGGGATCAACTTTCTCTTGGGGCTTGTGGCATTACTGCTCCAAAAAACTTTCCCTGATTAGTTGAGTATGGTTACTTGGTCTACACTTATGAAAATTCACTCTGCCATGTAAGTACAGTAGATGTGTGTGTGTTTTGTTTTGTTCTGTTATTTCAAGTATGTTTCACCTCTCCAACTATACACAAAGTTTATGTGTTTACCTTCCTTTGTAATTCCTAAAAGAAAAATGTGTAAGGATTTAACACTTTACATTTGTAAAGGAATAGAAAAGACAGTAGAATTAATTGGACATAACTTTCCTAGCCCTGTATTTGTATACACGACACATCATGTATGAGTACAAGAGTGGGAATATAAACAGAATACGTTATAATTTATGTATGTATATTCTGCCAAAATACATTCTACTGTCATGTATTACTAAATATTTAAAAAAATATATTTTTAAAAATTTTGTAAAGCTGTTGGTATAGTACCTGGCACATGGTATAATAGTATTTGCTATTTTAACCAATCCTAGATGCAAATGATGACATATTTAAAGATAGAAAAAAGAGGGAGAATACCCATCAGAAACCAAAGGTTCTTTTTCCTCCAGGTGACTGGAACCTGGTTGAAAAACTAAGTTGACCCGGGAGGGCCGTGATACACCTGTACTTACCATGATATACCTGTACTTACCGAAGGTCCGGTGAAGATTCTCTAAAAGAAGAACAAATAACAATGGATTTAATAGGGCAATCTAAGAGGCTCCTTTCTTCTCTCTGAGTCTTTGTTTTCTTCTCTTGAGTCTTTGTTATTTAATCACTTAAAATTTGTTCTAGTCCTGACCCAGGAGAGGAAGGAAAGCTATAGGATTTTACTTCTGCTCTGACTAAAGGCACGGAGAGGAAGACCCTCTACAATTCATGGCTGGTTATTGTTTTATAAATAGTGAATTTCCCAATTGAAGAGGAATTGAGGAGGGAGGGTAGCTGGAACTTACCTATTTCTGCTCGAAGTTTTCCTAAAACAGAAAAAGGCAACATTTTTAGTTCCTGCTCTGGCACTAGATAGGAGTCTGTCCATACCCAGTGCCGTAGCCCTTTGCGCAGGCTATTTCTCTACAGCCTAAGAGTGTCTTCAGGAGAGCAGGAAAAGGTCTAGATTTGAAACCAAGGGTTTGGCTCTGTCCCTGGATATTGTCTGGGTTGAATAGTGAAACAATGCAAAAGACTTCTCTAGTCCAGAACTTCAGTAAATAGGATGTGAGGGGCAAACATCTGTCACCCCATTGATTGCCAATGTTGATTCAGCTGATCTAGCTGGCTAGACAGGTGTCCCTTTCCTCCAGAAGCTGTACCCTCAGTTGAAGAGGAGAGCCCCGATGTTCTTCGGTCAAGGGTACATGAGTATCTATGTTCCCCGCTAGAACTTCCAAAGAAGCTCTCAAAAACCTCAGTAAAGCCAGGCACAGTGGTGTATGCCTTTTTTTTAATATTTATTTTTAGTCATATGTGGGCACTATATCTTTATTTTATTATTATGTGGTGCTGAGGATCCAACCCAGTGCCTCATGCATGCTAGGCGAGCGCTCTACCACTGAGCCATGGCCCCAGTCCTGGTGTATGCTTTTAATACCAATGACTCAGAAGGCTGAGGCAGGTGAATTACAAGTTTGAGGCCAGCCTTAGCTAGACTCCATCTCAAAAAAATGGGAGCCTGGGAGTGTAAGCTCTGTGGTAAATTGCTCCTGGGTTCAACACTTCCCACCGCCAGGCAAAAAAAAAACCTCGGTAAACAGCAATGCCCCAAATCATCCTAGGACTTTATTACCTCTCCCACTGCTCTTTGTTCCTTTTCTGGTAGTTCTTAGTTCACCTTGTCACTCTACCCCACTGGGTTGTCATTTTGTAAATCTAAACCCACTTTCCATCTGAATGAGGAAGGGAGGAGCTAGATCTTTAGTGAGCAGCTACCTTGTGACTGGTTCTTTATTGGGCACTTTACATAACATTATCTCCTTTAATCCTCCCTACAATTTAGGAGGGAGAAAGGTTACTTGACAAATGAGGAAATGGGCTTGGAGAACTGAAGAATTTTGGTCATAGTTCAGTGCCTAAGACAGAATTCAGTCCCAAGTTGCCCAACTTCATCATTCTCATTCTTCCAAATCACTAAGATCCATTAAGGCAGTTTTTTTGTTTGTTTGTTTGTTTTGTTTTCAGGTGGGAGAAGTGAGCATCTGAGATAGATTCAAGATGACAGAAAAGACCCCACAAGATCCCACTAATACCTGTTCTCCCTTGTATACCCAAACCCTCCTTGTTACTTTATCCTCTTAGTAGCAGGAGAAAGTGATAGGTCAAAGTCCTTGTACTTTGGCAGTGGGGAGAAGGCTCAGAATGGAAGTGGTGGCACAAAAGAAGAAACTCATTGAGCCAGGCATGGTGGCACACGCCCATAATCCCAGTGGCTTGGGTGGCTGAGACAGGAGAATAGCAAGTTCAAAGCCAGCCGCGGCAACAGCGAGGCACTAAGCAACTCAATGAGACCCTTTCTCTAAAGAAAATACAAAATACAGCTGGTTGAGTGCCCCTGAGTTCAATCTCCAGTATGCCTCCCCGCCCAAAAAAAAGAGCCTCATTGACAGCTGAACCCAAGGCCTTAGGGTTGAATGGAAAAGATGGAGGGAAACTGGTTTTGAACACATACTATTGTGGTAGGGACCTTCATTTTCATTAAAACTCCTAATAGCTTAGACTTGCCTGACTTTGAAGCTCACTCTCCCTGATGCATGAAGCTACTGGATATGGTACAGAAGTTTGAGCGCTGCCACTTACAACTTGTGTCAATTTGAGCAAGTCACTGAACTTCTCTTGGCTTCAGTTGCCTCTTTGTATATGAGGCCATTACATGTCAGATTCACCTCCTAGGGAAATGCAAGCTCCTATTATACCATGTGAAAGCATTCGGTTAGATGTAAAATTTATCACTGTGTAATTCTGATCTTGAAAGTCTCTCAAAAGGAAATGTTAACTGACCCAACTCTAAGAGGTTAGCTACTGACAGGGAAGGATATTGATGGGCCCAACCTCTGTCCTGTACCTCTCAATCTGTGTTGCAGGCAGAGGAAGACAAGGCCCACGGTGATCTGCAGAAGGAGCACAGGCAGCACAGCAATGAGGACCAGAACTTCAGGGTTGATCCAGTAGAAGGGATCTGAAAGGAACAATTGATACCACCCAGGCTGTATCCTCAATTCCCAGCACAGCATCCATTAGCTGTTTTGAATAAAGAAACAAATATCACCAAGATTCAAAGAAGGTGACACAGAATTGACACCTGAGCTTAGCTTTGAAAAAGAAATGGAATAAGAAACGTAGAACAAGACTTTTGTCTATTATTGTATTCTCCATTTTAAAAAAATGCAGCACATACTTTACTTTTAAGGTTTTTTTTTTTCTTTCTTTTTCTTTTTTTTTTTGATAATGGGGATTGAACTCAGGGCCACTAAGCCACATCTCCAGCTGTATTTTGTATTTTCTTTTAGAGGCAGGGTCTCACTGAGTTGCTTAGCACCTCGCCCGCCCGCCGCCTGCCTTTGCTGAGCCTGTCTTTGAACTTCCAATTCTCCTTTCTCAGCCTCCTGAGCTGCTAGAATAACAGATGTGTGCCATCGCGTCCAGCTACTTTTAAGTTCTTATTGAAAGTTACCTGTAGCTATATAATTAAGCAGGTTCAACCATCCCTTAGAATTCACAGGGGAATTGTTCCAGAAGCCCCTTGGAGGTCAAAGTCTACATATGTTCAAACCCCTTATATAACATGGCATGGTATTTGCATATAACTAACCTATGTACATTTTCCCAAATACTTTATTTATTTGGCCATGCTGGGGGTTAAACCTAGGGCCTTAAGCATGCTAGTTAAGTGCTGTACTACTAAGATACACCCCTAGCCCCTTCCCATATACTTTATTTATTTTGTATTTGTGCATTACCATATACTTTAAGTCATCTCTAGATTATTTATAATACTTAATGCAATGTAAATACTATGTAAATAGTTCTACTGTATCGTTTAGGGAATAATTATAAGAAGAATTCTACATGCTCAATACAGACATCATCACCATTATGATGATGATGATAGTGATGATGATGGTATGTGGATTGAACCCAGGGGAGATCCACTAATGAGCTACATCCTCAACTTTTTTTTTTCTTTCTTTTCTTTCTTTCTTTTTTTTTTTGTAGTGCTGAAACTCAGGGTCTAGCCCTTTCTATTTGTATTTTAGACAGGGTTTCACCAAGTTGCCAAGGCTGGCTTTGAACTTGCAATTCTCCTTCCTCAGCCTTCTGAGTTGCACACACAAGTGTGTGCCACTATGTCTGGCTTTTTTTCTGAATAATTTTGATTCTAGGTAATTCAATCCACTGAAGTGAAATTCATGGGTATGGAAGGCTAACTGTGCACACTTTTCTTTCTTTCTTTCTTTCTTTCTTTCTTTTTTGCATACTTCTTATACTTTCACAAAAGATTAGAATCATAGAAAGAGATAAAAGCAGACATTATCAGCCTCTATGAAATATGCCAAAATAAATCAAACCTGAGTCTGATCTTGCATAGATTTCTCAGTTCACCTGAAATAAAGAGCATGTTAATCAGAAATGTGGGAATGTAGTCAGCAAAATTCAGACTATGGGAAACCCCATAGGCAAATACAAATGTGGAAAGTCTGTTTGGATCTTACTCAAACAAACCAACTGTAAAAATACATTTATGAAAGGAAACCTTGAACACCTTGAACAATAGAACACTATTTGATGATACTAAGAAATTTTTGTTGATTTTTAAAGACATGATCATAGAATTGTGGTTGTTTTCTTTTTAAAAAAAAGTGCTCTTATATTTGAGTGATACGTTCTCAAGCACTTAGCAATGAAATGATAATGCTGCTTGGGATTTGCTTCAGCAAGTTGCTAGGGAGTGGCAATGAACAGGAATCAGGTAAATCTGGTTGTAGTTGGTTTGATAACTGCTGAGCAGAGTACTTGGAGGTCCATTATGATATTCTCTATACTTTTGTAAGTGTTTTTAAGTTTTCATATTGAGTTTAAAGAAATGATTAGAGACTGTAAAATGACATCAAAAAAGTCAAAAAGAGAGATGGGAAACTTTTTGGAGAAGGAGTTTTCTATATTTAAAAAACATGGTTACTGCATTCATTCCTATATTTGTTTCACTTCCGGGCTCCTCAGAGTAGTCAAGTGGACTTAGTTGTAAAACAATCCTGTTTTCAGATTCTTAGGTATGCAGACCAAGAGAAGGAGGAGGGGTTTGGAATGCGGAAACCAGCTCAAAGGAAAACTTTCTCCCCTGAGGCAAAGCTTTAGGGTATTATTCTCTTAATTCTTTTTTTCCCTTTCTCTTTTGGTGAGGTGGGCCTCAGGGAGTGAGTTGGGGAGGCAGTTCCTAGGCAGAAGTAGTAAGCTGTTGAACAGGAAGGATGAAAATCTATAACCACAGAAATCCTTCCTATTTGACATCTTTGTGGGTAAAAATTCCCCAGTAAAAACAGCTGTTTGAAGAACATTCTGTGACACACAGAGCTATTTTCATGTCCCTGCAGTTCGTTTCTAGAAATAGTGCATTGTTATTCAGCACACAATGCCATCTTCTGGTTCCTACACTGCAACAGTCACCCCCAGCCCAGACACAAAAGTGAAGGATTGTCTGATGTTTGCACTGCAGGTGGGGGAAGAGGGAGGGTGAGGAGGGGAAAGGACTGGAGGCTCAGGAACTCAGAACATTTTTGTTCTTTAATTAAATGGCCATTAATCTTCAAAGCTTCCCCTTTGTCCACTTCACCTTGCCACATTTTAACCTTCCTAAGATGGAATGAATGAATGAATGAACTAACTCCAAAATCATCCATCACAGAAAACATACTGAAAATGGATTTCTGCAGAATTGAAGCAAATAAGGTAAAACCTACAGGTGTATCTCTTTCTGTAATTATATTCAGATATCTGCTTTGCTTGTTCATTTAGTTGTACTATGTTTTACTAGGAATATGGCTTTCAATAATGTTTCTCACCCAATGAAACACACACATACACACACAAACACATACACACACACAAAGATTTTTTTAGAACTATACTATATGGCTTGGAGGCATTTCATGATAAAAGCAAGTTAAAGAGTGTAGGGAACAAAAACCTTGTGACCTTGGGTTTGTGAATATATACATTATATACACACACACATACATACACATATATACATATTATATAATATTACATATTATATTAAATATATATATATTTTCATATATATGAAAGAATATCAACAAGAAAGTTAATATGAATTACTATGGTAGAAGAGCTTTCTCTCCAGGAGGGAGAATAGAAGTGTGACCCAACCAAAGAATAAAAAAGAAAAGCCCATAATTATCCATATGATTGTTCTTATTCATTGATATAAAAGTCTATATAATGTGTACATTTGTGGATACAATTTGAGAAAAAAAGAAAAAGGAAAATAGAAAAGATGAGAAATGGAGGCAGCAAAAATCCAGAATAATCCATCTATGATGATTTTGTATCACTAGAGGGAAATATGAATAATCTTTAAGTTAACCTTCCTAAGATGGAATGAATGTATCTAAGTATCCTAGGGGAACTTTTCTGTTTTGCTTTGGGATGTTCTTTTATTTGTCCTAAAGGAAAACATCATTCCTAGGGAGTCACAATTGATCAAATCCTATTACAGTGAATTCCTTTGTGGGTATGAATGTGGTATTTCATTGGATGACTCACCTTCCACTTTCAATTCCATTGCTGCCTCTTCTTGGTAAGAGTGATCTCGGAAGAAACAGGTGAAACCTCCTTCATCTGAGAACCTTACATTCCGAATCCTGAGAGTCACCTTTCCTTCACCAATAGACTCTTTCAGCAGCTCTGTCCGGCCCCGATATTCAGGTGCCTGCTCAGCATCTTGGTCCTTGCCATTTCTGTAGAGATGGACCACCCTAGAGAAGGGGGGGCGGTACCACCCCACTTCCATGCCTGTAGCATTCTTCCCAGGAGATATTCGACATGGCAGCTCCGCTTCATCCCCGACCAGAGCCCGGATGGGGTGCCCTGGACCTATCACTCTGAACTGTCCTGTCCAAGACACCAAAGAGAAGAAACTGAGGGTCAGAGGGGCCCTTGACATGGGAAGAGCTGTTTCGAACAAGAAAGGGAGGAATACACTCAACTGTTAAGTGGAATTCAAAAGTCAGTGAGGAGCTCATTTTTTCCTTTTGAGCATATACCAAAACAGTCTCTAGTCATAGAGATGTCCTGATTGTCTTGTACAGAATATTCTAGTATGGGATCATCTTGACAGCTGCTGCCCACATTTTTGCCAGCAGCATCCATCTCTGATTCCCACCAATCCTTTAGGTTCTACCTTGGAATGTGGTCCAGTATCTTGAAGTTTAGTTCTCCCATGCACCTCCCTGTTTTGTCCTAGCTATACTGGTCCCCTTTCCCCCAGAGGTTTTGCTTTCATCACTCTCTATGACTTCTCAGCACTCTGTCCTTGTTCACACCCTGTTCCCCAAATTCTACTCTAAGATCTTTTAGGGGTGGCTCTACCTCACTCTTCTTTACTCAATGTACCTTCAACCACATTCCAGATCTTGTCCCTGCCTTAATATCTACAAGTCTTTTTCCTATGAAGACAGGTTTTCCAAGCTAGACTCTGAGCTACCAGATAAGGCTGGTTTCTTCCTTAGATCCTGGGGATGGGCTCTGGTTTCAGAGATCTGAAAATATTTCTCCTGCGAATATCTAGACTGGACCTATTTGTGAGTCAGGGGTCTCCCTGAGGTTGGAGCCCTGTCTTCTTTTCTTTATGGTACTGGAAATTAAACCCTGGGCCTCAAGAATGCTAGGCAAGTGCTTTGCCACAGAGCTATATCCTCACTTAAAGAAATCAGCATTTTAGTTAGATGTGGTGGTGCATGCCTATAATCCCAGTTGCTTGGGAGGCTGAGGCAGGAGGATCGAGAGTTCAAAGCCAGCCTCAGCAATGATGAGGCACTAAGCAACTCAGTGAGACCTTGTCTCCAAATAAAATATAAAACAGTGCTGGGGATGTGGCTCTGTGGTTGAGTTCCCCTGAGTTCAATCCCCAGTACCAAAAAGAAAAAAGAAAAAGAAATCAGCATTTTTTCTTTCTTTGTGGTGCTTGGAATTGAACCCAGGACCTCATGCATGCTATACAGTTACACTACCACTGAATTACACCCCTAGCCTCTCTGTTTCTTTTTTTCTTTTTGTTTTAAACATGAAACGCTTCATGAACTTGCGTGTCAACCTTGCTCAGGAGCCATGCTAGTCTCAATTGTTCCAATTTTAGTATACATGCTGCTGTGCTGTGCTGCTGAAGCAAGCACCACTTCTGTTTCTTTTATTTCTCCTCTACGTGGGATAAAAAAGTTCCCCCATGAAAACTTATTGGTGCCTAATTCTGCAGGGCAAGTTCTCAAACATAACAATATGTTATAACTCAACATTTATTTGGAATTTACTACAGGCATTGCTAATCATGTTACATATCTCATCTTATTTAACATTAACAGCAACTGCAAGAAGTTATAATTTTATCCCCATTTGAGAGGTGAAAAATCAAAACCTGGGCTAGGGGTATAACTCAGTAGTAGAGCACTTGCCTAGCATGTTTGAGGTCCAGGTTCGATCCTCCAGCACCACACATGTGCATGTGAACATGCCATGTATGAATTCACACACACACACACACACACACACACACACACAGTTTGGATTCTATTCTGAAAGGAGCCACAGAGGTTTTAGAGGAGAGTTGTGTTAGTAGATCTAAGTTTTTAGAAAGATAACTCATATAGCTGTTTGAGGATGATTGGAGATGAGCCCTGGGAAACTACCCTTTCTGTTCTTGGAACTCCACACAGCAGGGATAAACAAATCTTACCTGCATAACTGGAAGACAGCTGAAGGAAGAGAAAGGTGAGGACACAGTTGGGTAGAGAGAAGCTTGATAAACCTGCCATCTCTGCTGTTACTGGGGACAGAGAGTCCCCTTGATGGGGTCAGGCCAAGCAAAGACCCTTGGGCTGCATGTCCCTTACCCCTGGGAAGCTTGAAGGAAGGATCTGGGAGGCAGTACTGCCCAGGGCCCTGCCTCCACTCTGGCCACTGCTGCAGCTGTGCCCTTAGGAACAGCTCCACGTCACCCTTGCCAGACACTTATACAAAAGGGCTACAGACTAAGGGGATGACCAGGATTTGCCTTCCCCACCCCCCTCAGAGCAATGGAGCAGTGTCTGCCTGGTACTGAACCTTCCTCTCTTACCACCTCCCAGTGAGCTAGCCTTAGAGAGGGCATCTAGGGGCCAGTGGGATCGATCATCACTGGACCTCAGAAGAGGCTTGTTCATGGAGCCTGTAAGTTTTTTTGGATCTCTCTTACCTCCTGGAATTAGTGAAGGGAGCATGATTATTGTTGACTCTTTAAAGGAAGAGGATCAGCAGCAAGAGGAGGAGAAAGAGGACAAGGACAAGGAAAGACTATTTAGCCTTGGCTTCCTATTTCTATTGTCTCACAACTGTCATTACCAGGTCATTTTTCTTGATGTCAAATTCCCTGTGTTCTACTACAAATCCAGCTCCCTTTCTTATGCTTCAGATATGGGACAGGTTTCTTGAGCTTAGTTAGTCTTTTACCCCCAAAGAATGTGCTTGGCAAAGTTATAAGGTGGACATCAGGAACTGATGATCATCTCTGCCCAGAGAGGCAAGCATGGAGGAAGAGAATCAGCAACTGATGATCAACACAGGCATCAGGGACAGAGCCAGCATGCAGGACACATCCCTCAGCCTTGTATTGTTCTCTGATTTCCTTGGTGTCACAGGGGAAAGAGAGTATGAAATGAATATGAACTTTTTTCTTACCTTAGACTCAGCTGAGAACTGCACAGTGAGACCAGCATTGACACGAAGTTTCTTATTATTATTAATCTGGGGATAAAATCCAGGGCTGCAAGCATGCTAGGCAAGTACTTTAGCACTGAGTTACATCCCCAGCCCTATTTCCCAATCTTAAAGCAAGAATGCCTCATCAAATAAGAAAAAGGAGAAGGATAGACAATTTAAAGCCAAGCTGTCCAACATGGTAATCACTAGCTACAAAGAGCCATTAAAGTTAGAATTAATTAAAACAAGATAAGATAAAAAATTCAGTTCCTGATTGCATAAGCTGTTTCAAAAGCTCATAGCACCCCAGCTAGTGGTTACCACATTGGACAACACAAATGTAGAGCATTTCTATCATCACAAAAAGTTAGTCAGGCACACAGAAGGTAACATTGGGAAGTAATGGGTAGAAGCATGTGTGGGGCATACATTTTTGCTTTTGTCTGACACAGGCATAACAGGCTAGAAGGATAGATTATAGTTAGCTGAATGTGAAACTTGCTTATTCTTTCTCCCTGCAAGATAGATGAGTTTGGGCATAACTAGGGTTTGGCTAATTTGGAGTCCTAAACTTGAAAGTCAAGGTCAGGGGAGTGAATCTCATGTGAAAAGGAGGCACAATGTATCTGCTGACTTCCTTTCAAGTGGAAATTCTCTTTCCAGAACCCAAGTGGCCTGGGATGCTCTGCCTCCATGATGCATATTCAGTAGGTGAGTCATGCAGAAGATGCTTTTCTAGGCAGGGATGGTAGGGTGTTTGTAATGGTTCAGCACCAGGCCAGCTGTCAAAAGCTAGATGAGAGATCAGGATGGGGGTGGAAGAATGGGAGTGTTGGGATGGTCAGAGTGGATCAGGAACTAGTCAGCCAATCAAAACCCTTTTGGGGAAATCACAACATCTCTGGAAAAAAAAAATCAAAACCAAAAATCCTACCACCTTATTGAATGCTTCCATGTGTCACTCTTCCAATCAATTTATATAGATTAACTCATTTAATCTTCATAACAATAAAACAAACATTAAAATATTTTATTCCTCAAAAAATTGAGGAACAAAAGAGGTAAAGTAACTTGTTCAACTAGGCAGCAACAGAACAGGGATTTCAAGCCAGGCTTTCTAGCCTCAGCATTGGCATCTGTGGCCATTACACTACAGGGCACCTGATGAGTCACCTTACTTCTGTCTGTGCTTTCAGATACCTCATATCTCCTGAAAGAGAATGGATTCCTGGAGCTATGATGAGAAGTCCATTGGATGGCATGGTTATTGAGCAAAGTTGATGTATATAAGAGAAGGGAGAGAAGCCACCAGCAAAATGAAGCCAACAGGTTTGCCACATACAGAAATCTGGGGTGTAGCTGGGCATGGAAGTACATACCTAGAATCCCAGCAACTTGGGAGATTGAGGCAGGAGGATGGCAAGTTCCAGGCCAGTCTGAGCAATTTAGGGAGACCTTATCTCAAAAAATAAAAAATAGGGCTGGGGTTGTGGCTCAGCGGTAGAGTGCTAGCCTTACAGTGTGAAGACCTGGGTTTGATCCTCAGCATCACATAAAAAATAAAATAAAGGTATTTTGTTCAACTACAACTAAAAAATAAATGTTAAAAAAATAAGAGAGAATACACACTAGAATGCACTATCTTGCATTCACAATGAGGAAAGAACATTTGAGAATCTACCAAGAAGTCTGCAATTCAAGGAGGGAGCCCCTCTCACCAGACACTACCCCTGCTGACACACTGATCTTGGACTTTATAGTCTCAGAACTGTGAGAAAATAAATTTCTAAAAATATTAAAAATAAAAAAGGGCTATGACTGTAGCTCAGTGATTGATAGAGTGCCCTTGGGTTCAATCTCCAGTGCCAGGGAAAAAAAAGAATTCCAAGATGTGACTGTGACCACAGAACATTTTAACTTAGTGTCCCCTTGTAGGCATGGGACCTTATGCAACTGTCGTGGTCACATAATAGTTGTGTACTTAAGTTATTCTGGTTAGTCCACTGAGAATAACAGACTACAAAATGTTTCCACTTAGCCAGATGCTTTAGGAGTCCTAGAAAAATAAAAACATGTTTTTGTTTGTTTGTTTTCAGGCTGGGGGTGATCTTGAGTATTTAACCCAGGATGCTCTACCACTGAACTACATCCCCAGCACTATTTAATTTTTAAAATTTATTTATTTTTGTAAATAAATAAATTCTACTGAGGATTGAACTGGCCATTCTGAAACTGGGCAACTGTCACTTTGCTTATCATCTTGGAGCTGAGCTACCTCTCCAACCTTCTTTTTTTTTTAATTTTTTTTAAAGTTATTGATAGACTTTTATTTTATTTACTTATATGCGGTGCTGAGAATCTAATTCAGTGCCTCACACATGCCAGGCAAGTGTGCTACCACTGAACCACAGCTACAGCCCCTCCCCAACCCCTTTTATTTTTATTTTCAGGTAGAGTCTCAGTTGAAGCTCCTTGAACTTTCGATCTTCCTGCTTCAGCCTCCTGAATTGTTGGGATTACAGGTGTGTGCATCACTGTGTCTGGCAGTTTTTTCATTTTTTGTGTGTTCCCCGTTATTATTCTGAAATTCACCAATATTTTCATATTTTCAAGGGAAAGAATTCAGCTTGTTATGAGTCTGATGAAATCAGTTTGCTTCCCTTCCCACCTCACTCCCTAAATAGGAATGGGGTTTTGTGGATTTTAACCAAGTGCTATGGAATGTTGTGTGGAAGAGGCATTAGATAGTTCTGTAGGCCTATCTAAGTCAAATTTCAGCCCAGTCCAAAGATGACTTTCTCCACCAGAGCTGTCCAAGGTGGGAATGGACTGCTGGAGTGAGCTTCCCATTCCTGGATGTTCCCGCCAGCATAGAACAGAAGTTTCTTTAGAATACCCTAAGCTTTCCCCCCACCCCCTTTTTTTAAATCCACTTCTTTTCCTGCTCTTCCATGCCTCCTTTCCATTTCCCTGTCATCTTCACTTTTCACCACTTTGACTGCTGAATCTTGCAGGTAAGGAAGGAGGTGCTCCCAAGTCTGCCCAGCAACACTTCAACCACTTCACCACCAGTAATAGGTTGCAGGGAGGCTTGGGGGCAGGAGAAGAAGCAGCGGTCACAAACCCTCTGAGTGAGGTGTCTGTGCGCGGTGCTTGGAACCTCAGTCCCTACTGGCAAAGCCTTTGTCCTTTTACTTTACACCCTCTGCCCTTGGTTACCTGCTTTTCCGCAGCTGCTTTTTTTCTTTTAATCTGGCCCAGAAGCCTGCATCCTATAGTATTGGAACAGGAAGACCCAGTGGCCATTTTGGCACCCTAGTCCAGTCCCTGGGAGGAGGATCCACATAATGATGGCCCTTCTTTCACTAGAGGCTCCTCGAACATGAGGAATGTGTATTAATGGCTATTTTGAAGCTGCGCAACTGTCCTTTTCCTTATTATCATGAAGCCTGGCAATCACAGTTGATTTTCTTGTTGTGTTTGTTCCCCTAGCAGGGAAAACTATATGAAGGGATTGATTATGTAATCTAGAGTTTCTAGAGCTCTTTAAAGACTTATAATATCCTTATTTCAGAATATAGAGGACCTGGCATCAGCATTTATAATAGGATATTTACTAGAAGCCTGGAATGCTCAGATGCAAATACCTGCTCCACACTTTTCTAGATGATGAAGGAACACTAATTAGCTGTCCTGTAAAAAGACTGGTGAACTCCTGCAGATAGTTTAAAGAAAACTCAGTTTCTTTATCTACAAATGGGGATTATACTGGTCACTTCATGTGACAGATTTCAATGTTTCAATGAGAGGAGGTACATAAAGTGCATAGGTAGGCCTATGTCTGATTCTCCAAAACAAACAAACAAAAAAGCAAAAAAACAACTGTTATACAGAACCTGTACATAGAATGTTCGCCCATAAGGCATACATATGTCTTGTTAGGAATAGAGTAATGAAAATAATGAGGACTGACATAGCCTAGTCTGTTGAAAGAACGAATGATAAATTAAAACATACACCTTTAAATCTCTAGGTTGCGGTTTTGCAAGAAGATACCTTCTTGTATTCTAACACCTCTAGGTCAATATTTACTTATCATTTGTTTGTTTGTTTTGGGGAATGGAACCCAGGGCCTCAAACATGCTAGGCAAGCACCCTACCACTGAGGTCCTAGGTCAATATTTATACTTTTACTTGACCGATCATACCAATTTGTTAACTATCAGTACAAACTATCAGGTTTGTACTTTTCACTTGATTCTTGATTAAGAACTCTGAGTCCTGATGAGCAACTTCAGGTATGTGTGGAAGTCTTCTTTTTTCCTAGTGCTGGGATTCAAACGCAGGTTCTCATGTATGGCAAGGGCTCTACCACTGAACTATATCCCTAGTCCTCTGGAGAAGTATTGGAGAGTCAGGAGAGAACCACACAAAACAGCTTTGGTTGCTTTTCGAGGGTCAGATACTGAGTTGTGTAGGGCCTCACCAAGGCTGACCTCAAACTTGCAATCCTCCTGCCTTAACCTCCTGAGTTGCTGGGATTACAGGTGTGTGCTGCCGTGACTGCCTGAGTTAGTGCCTTTCCTCCATCTTTCTTTACTTTCCCTTAGTGGTTTTACTCATGTCCACTTCCACAGCTTCCAAGATTCTAAAAAGCCAGGACCTGAATCCTCCTTCCTGTGTCATTTTCCTTTCTGCTCCAGAAAGAGGACACATTGATTTTTCTCACCAGTGGCAATCCATCATCTCTTTATATCTGTTAGATGCTTCTGGACTTACAGCACTCAGCTCTGGGGGTTACTCAATAATCTTCCCAGTGTCAGACATGAAAACTGATTTTAAAATATTGAACACAACCAAGATTTAAAAATATTGAACATAACCAAGTTAAATCACACTTAGTCATTTTTCACAACAGCCGTTTTGATTAATCAGAGTAATTTGGTTTCCATTTGCCCTTGGTTCTCTGCAGCATTCTGAATGGTTGGTATTGGCAAGTCAATGGATAAAGAAGGCATGTGAGTGTAGCTGGTTATTGTGGGGTACACCTGTAATCCCAGCCATTTCAGAGGCTGAAACAGAAAAAATGGCAAGTTCCAGACCAGCTTGAGCAACTTTGTGAGACCCTATCTCAAAATAAAATTTAAAAAGGGCTGGGATGTATCCCTATGGTAGAGCACTGCCTAGCATGCATGAAGCCCTGGGTTCAATCCCTAGTACCTCTTAAAAACAAACAAAAAAACTCACACATAGTTACAGGTTTATCCCATAAAAGTTCTTGTGGAAGGCAAAAAAAACCTCTGTTATGTTAAGTTATATGTATATTTGCCTGTAATTTTTAAAATATGCTTCTTGACACTGTTGATTCAGTTACTGGTTTAGTAATACCATAAGGCTTGAACTGGTTTAATATGTTACTACTGTCACTCAGAGAAGCAGGAGAACTTTGTAAGGAGCCTGGTAAACTGTAAAGGAACTCAAACCCTTAAAATTTGTGGGTGGAGTTGAATGTGGATATGTGGGTGATTAGGGGTGGGCACAGTGATCTAGGATTTGTTCTGGTTATCCTTCTGGGATGGCCTTGAGACATTTACAGGCATTTCAACTAGCCCAGCACAGCTTTCTGCTTAATTGGGGTTCCTCAGGGCTGTATACTATTATATTCAAATCAAGGCCAGGAGACTTCCTTGAGGCTCACCAGAAATGGAGTATTTACTTTTTATTGCGCTCACTGCTTGACATATTTTCACAGTGAGCATATGGCCTTTATAATAATGATTTTTTAAAAAACAAACAAACTTGAAAAAGCATTTGTTCCTTAGAAATGGTCAATTTCTGAAGAGATCTAAGCTTCCTTTGTAACTAGTGCCATCTAATGGTTAAGGTAAGTTATTGCTCTGAATTTGGTCACAGGCACAGGGAAGGATGCTGGAAAATTCAACATTCATTGAAATGCCAAAGGGGAGGGGGAGACACAGCATACAAAAATCACTCCCTAAAATTGTACACAGTTTAGGGAGCCGGGGTTGTGGATCAGTGGTAGAGCGCTTGCCTAGCATGCAGGAGGCACTGGGTTTGATCCCCAGTACCACATAAAAATAAATTAAAAAAAAAAAAAGATATTGTGTCCATCTATAACTAAAATTAAAAAAGTTGTACACAGTTTTTACTTGCTGAAATAGTAACACTCCAATTCACTCACCTCTAAGGACATCCAAGGACTTGGTGGTAAAACATACCATTTGAATGCCAATTGAAGGAGTACTAATTTGTGTTCATTTGAAATTTTTACATTCTTAAGCATGTTTCTACCATTGTATCTGTTTCTCACAGCAGTATGTTAGATAATCAGATAAACTAATTTTATTCTCACTTTAAGAAACCAAGGCCAGAGGGGATATAATGAGTCAGCCAGGTGATTACTGTCATAGCAAGATCCAGGACCCAAGGTTACCCAACTGGCCTGATTTTCCAGGTGTTTATGCTATAGGATATCTCTCCTATATCTATCGTGAGGTACCGGAGAGTAATCCAAGGGGAAGGGGAATTAATTATTTTTCTCTTATTTGTATTCTGCTCTATAATATAAATTTCTTTCCCAGAGTGGTTGCACTAATATATATTCATGCTAACAGCATATATATCAGACTTCATTGTCAACACTTGATTTTATCAGATTTTTTTTTTTTTTACCTTTTTGTATTTAACAAACCCTTAGTGAGTAAAATAGTATTTCATTTATTTTGTTTGTCAGAGCTAACAATTTTTGAGAGCCCCTGTGGGCTAGGCACTTTTACATACATGAGTATCTCCTATAATCCCCATAGCAACACCAGGAAGTACATATTATTATTCCTATTTAAGAATGGGGAAAGTGAGGTACTAAGAGGCTAAAGCAATGCTTGGTAAATCTTAGAGTGCTTGTAGTGGGGTACATATTGACTATTACAGGACTACGGTCTGGAGCAGCATTCAGAGATGGTGAAGACCCAAGAATCTGAGTATAGGATTTGGAAAGGAGGTTCCTGAAAGAAAAAGGAGAGCATCTTTCAGCTTGCTGCTTCTGACATCTTGGTTATTGGTGGAGGGAAGTGAGAAAGTACATATTCTGGGCTGGGAAATTCAAAAGACTCCATATTTCTGTTTCTAAATCAACCACAAAAATTCAATAAATGCCTCCTATGCTTGTAACACTATACACAAACATTTTTTTCCCTTGATTTCCCTGTGTCTTAGAGGCCTGGATCATATCTATGAATTTCTCTCTCATAAAAAATTACTATTTTTTTTTTTCAGTGTATAGAGTACTTTATCTTGGTTAAGGCTCATGATATTGGCTTTTTTTTTTTTTGCACTGGGGACGGAACCCAGGGCCTTGTACGCGCTAGGCAATGCTCTGCTACTGCATGACATCCTCAGGCCTTTTTATTTTGAGATAGGGTCTTGCTAAATTGCCCAGACTGGCCTTGAGTTTGCAATCCTGCCGCATCAGCCTTAGCCTTCCCCCAGGCTTCCAAGTAGT